AGCACCCAAAACGTCCCCCCAGCACTCAAAAGGTCCCCCCAGCACCCGCTGAGGTTGGGGCTCTTGGACCCATCCTGGCTCCTGGGACCTGGATCCCACAGGCAGCCCCAGAGCAGGGTGACCCCACGTCCCCTGGGACCCCAGGGAAGGATGTGACCCTGTGTGCGTCCCAGTTAATCCCAGTTGGTGGGACTGGATGTGTTTTCTCTGTGTGCTGTGAGCCAGTGCATCCCAGTTAATCCCAGTTGGTGGGACTAGATGTGTTTCCTCTGTGTGCTGTGAGCCAGTGCATCCCAGTTAATCCCAGTTAGTGGGACTCAATGTGTTTCCTCTGTGTGCTGTGAGCCAGTGCATCCCAGTTAATCCCAGCTGGTGGGGCTGGATGTGTTTCCCCTGCACAGCCCCTCCATTCCTTCCTGGGGACATGGGGACAGGTGACCACCAGCTTCACCACTGGTCCCAACTGGGAGCAGATGATTTTCCACGAGGTCTCATGGGCTTCTCTGTGCTCACCACCCACAGCCACCTTCTCCAGCCTGGATGTTTATAGATTTTATATGTCCACTCTCAAAATTTGCTTGAAGAGTTTTTAGGACAGAGATGTCACTGTCCCCAAAGCCACCAGCATGGCCCAGGCTGGGCAGTGGGGTGGCCCCATGGTATGACATGTCCTCTCCTGGTGCCTGCAGATGAGCTGCTGTGTGCCTGCGACGTGCCACACTGCAGCCTGCCCACCTGCATGGGCAAGGTGTGCTTCATCAGCAAGAGGAAGGAGGAAGGGACCATCACCCAACACAAGGGCTGCTTCTCCCAGAACATCTTGGAGAACTGTCACACGCCAGTGACAGAGCACTATGGCATGAAGTGCTGTGACTCCAGCATGTGCAACGCTGAGCTGGAGATCTTCCTCCAAGGTATGGGGTCATGGTTCCCTTCGAGGAGACAGAGGGGAGAGGGACAGAGCTGACCATGTGGGTGGAGATGTGGTTGGGTCTCCAGATCATCCCCTTCCCACACTCAGCACCTCTAGGGTCACCCTTTCCCAGGTGGGACAGGGCCAGTGAGATGTCCTTGGTTGACCTTTCTTGGGCTGTGCCTGCAGTGCTGCCATCCATAGGGTTGACCTCAATGCAGAGTCACCCTCCCCAGTCCAAGCCCAAGCACCAAGACCTCCACCCTCCCCAGTCCAAGCCCAAGCACCAAGACCTCCACCCTCCCCAGTCCAAGCCCAAGCACCAAGACCTCCACCCTCCCCAGTCCAAGCCCAAGCACCAAGACCTCCACCCTCCCCAGTCCAAGCCCAAGCACCAAGACCTCCACCCTCCCCAGTCCAAGCCCAAGCACCAAGACCTCCACCCTCCCCAGTCCAAGCCCAAGCACCAAGACCTCCACCCTCCCCAGTCCAAGCCCAAGCACCAAGACCTCCACCCTCCCCAGTCCAAGCCCAAGCACCAAGACCTCCACCCTCCCCAGTCCAAGCCCAAGCACCAAGACCTCCACCCTCCCCAGTCCAAGCCCAAGCACCAAGACCTCCACCCTCCCCAGTCCAAGCCCAAGCACCAAGACCTCCACCCTCCCCAGTCCAAGCCCAAGCACCAAGACCTCCACCCTCCCCAGTCCAAGCCCAAGCACGAAAACCTCCACCCTCCCCAGTCCAAGCCCAAGCCCCAAGACCTCCACCCTCCCCAGTCCAAGCCCAAGCACCAAGACCTCCACCCTCCCCAGTCCAAGTTCAAGCATCACTTTCATGCTCCCATCCATCATTTCCTCCCCCTAGGAGAAGAGACCCTGGGAAAGGCATCCTCCCTGCCCAACCTCCTCCTGATGATCTTCATCCCTCTGCTCACCCTCCTCATCCTCGTGGCGCTCATGGCACTCTTCTGCTGGAAGGTGGCCCAGCACCGCCACAAGAAAAGCGACTTGGGAGACATGGACCTCATGTTGAAGGCATCCATGGTGGGAGACAGCACTTTGGAGGTGGGTGATCTCTAGGAGGGACCCCCAAATGGGAAGGAGGGATGTGCTGGGTGTGAGGTGGCCACAGAGCTGACCCCAACGCCATCCTGGCTGTGCAGGACTTGCTGAGTGATGACTGCACGACGGGCAGCGGCTCGGGGCTGCCCTTCCTTGTCCAGAGGACGGTGGCTCGGCAGATCACCCTCGTGGAGTGTGTGGGTAAGGAGAGTGGCCGGGCTCAGTGGGACCCTACCCCAGCCAGTGGTTGAGCAAGTGATGGACCCCTTCCCCACAACAGCTGGTGATGGCACCACGATGCCAGACCCAGGAGGTTGGGATGGACCCAACCATCTCAACCAAAACCCCACAGAGACCCAAAGTTCTCCCCCATCCTGCTGAGGGGGAAGGTAGTGGGTGGGTGGGTGGCAGTTGGCCAAGGTCAACGGACCCTGTGCCGCTCCATTGCTGTTCCACACCAGGAGCTGGGTTCATCATGGGGAGGGGGTCAGGGGCTTCGTGACGCAGTGCCATGGCCGTGGCAGGCAAAGGACGCTACGGTGAGGTCTGGCGAGGTGTTTGGCATGGGGAGAGCGTGGCCGTGAAGATCTTCTCCTCCCGGGATGAGCAGTCGTGGTTCCGCGAGACAGAGATCTACAACACCGTCCTCCTCCGACACGACAACATCCTGGGTGAGTGAGGGGCCAGGGGGGTCCAGGGGGTGGCTGCACAGCAGCTCCATGCTCATGGTTCTTCTCCTCATCCAGGCTTCATCGCCTCCGACATGACGTCAAGGAACTCCAGCACCCAGCTCTGGCTCATCACCCACTACCACGAGAACGGCTCGCTCTATGACTACCTGCAGAGGAAAGTCCTGGATGT